ATTTACATGTTTACATTCTCTTTCATATTTATGTATTGCACAGTTTCACAGTTATGCATTATTTGATGCCGGTAAAACATAATGTATTGTCATTACATTCATCTGCTAATGAAGGTCCAGGTGGTGATGTATCAGTATTTTTTGGATTATCTGGTACAGGAAAAACAACACTTTCAGCTGATCCAAGCCGATTTCTGATTGGTGATGACGAACATTGTTGGTCCGACAACAATATCTTCAACGTAGAGGGTGGCTGTTACGCAAAATGTATAAATCTATCACCGGAAAAAGAACCCGAGATTTTCAACGCAATTCAGTTTGGTTCAGTATTGGAGAATGTTGTTTATGATGAAAATACTCGTGTGGTCAATTACGATGATAACTCATTAACCGAAAATACACGTTGTGCTTATCCAATTGAATACATTCCAAATGCCAAGATACCTTGCATGTCAACTAGTCATCCAAAGAACATCATTCTTCTGACTTGTGACGCTTATGGTGTGATCCCACCTGTATCAAAACTTTCATCAGCACAAGCGATGTATCATTTTATTTCCGGCTACACGGCGAAAATAGCAGGTACAGAAGACGGAGTCACAGAACCTGAAGCAACATTTTCTGCATGTTTTGGTCAACCATTCCTGGTCTTGCATCCAGCTCGTTATGCACACATGTTGGCAGATAAAATGGAACAACACAAAGCTGATGCTTGGCTAGTTAATACAGGATGGAGTGGTGGGGCATATGGAGTTGGGGAAAGAATTAAACTCAAGTATTCCAGAGCTATAATTGACGCGATCCATAGCGGTGAGCTTGCAAATACAACGTATGAAAATTACAAAGTATTCAATTTAAAGATTCCAACAACAGTTACAGGGGTACCATCCGAAATATTAAATCCAGAAAACACTTGGAAGGGACCAAAAGAAGAATTCGTAAAAACCAGAGATTCTCTTGCTAAACATTTCATTGAAAATTTTAAAATTTATCAAGAAGAGACTACACCAGAAGTTCTTGCTACTGGACCAATTCTTGAATGTTAATATTATCAGATGAAGAAAGAAAGAAAGAAGAAGAAGAATTAAAAAAAATATGGAGATTATTTATTTAAATTATTGTTATAGTTTTGGTTAGTCAGCCATGTTCAAATTAGGAAGACCATAGTTAATTATAAAAATTCTTTAATATAAGGAGAAGTGTTACACACCAACAACAAAATCAATTCTAAAATAATGTGAAAGTAAAAGAGTTTAAAAGAAGCTTTGACAGTTTTAAGAAAAAGAGTTTAGAACGGGTCTATTTGTCAATATTAATATTTGTGTGTGAATTCTGTATAGAAATGCATCACGCAGATCGTTAATTAACATTGTTTCAAAATAAATAAATGAATAAAAAAGGAGTTCTATACTATATTTCCTTTTAATATATATATATGAAAACCTTTTTTGGACTGTGAGGCACAGAAATGATCTGGCTATTGTTATTTCGGAGAAATTGATTGATTATTTTATATATAGAACTTTAAAGGGTTTTTGATG